CCCACCAGGACAGTGCTACTGACTGAACTGTCCTTAGGCCTGAACTGTCCTTAGGCCAGATAGTCGAAGCAGACTTTGGGCTGTTGAGGCTTGAGAGGTGAGCAGAGTAAGCCTGATTCCGCGTTTGGCCTTCTCTGTTGACATCCACCCCTTGGCACTCATATGACCCTTGTGCTGTTGCGAGCGCCGTAAAAACTCTACTAAAACTAAAAACTCACTTTGCAGATGTTGGGAAAATTGATTTAAATTGTTTTGGAAAATTGATATAAAGTGTTTCTCCCAAGAATGTAAAACTTTACTAAATTAACTTTTTTTCCCGTTTTCAGAAAATGATGCACGACAATAACCTGGTGCGTCACTTGGACGCCTGTGAGACAATGGGTAATGCCACCGCCATCTGCTCCGACAAGACTGGCACGCTGACCACCAACAGAATGACGGTGGTGCAGAGCTACATTGGCCGTGAGTGATGTGTTCTCTTTGAATTGTAATCAGGGGGCGACGGCTGACTTGTTTGAGTTTGTGGTCCGCCGGTGTTCTGGTGTGGTCTGCTCCTTTTTTCTTATCAAACATCTATTGTCCTTATCTCCCCTCTTTCTTTTTTGTGTATGTTACTCTCTTGTGACACGTACTCTATTCTTCGGCACTTATATGACCTTATTATGTTGCGAGTGATGTATAACTCTTCATCATCATCATCATTGCCTTTCTCACCCTGCACCAGGGTATAGGCCACGGACAAACACCCCCCACTTTTCTCTATCCTGGGCTAGCCTCTTGATGTTATTCCATGTCTTCCCACTTTTCTGTACATCGATTTCTGTGATTCTTCTCCAAGTTCCACGAGGTCTTCCCCTTGATCTCTTGTATAACTCTTACTGAAACTAAAACTGACTTGTTTGACAGGGTTGAGTCTGTCTGCTGGGACATTGTGTCCTTCTTATGAAGAGTTAGCCCTGGTAGCAGGGTCAAAGTAATCTGCCTCCTAAATGATCTACATTGTGTTGATGGGGATGTTATACACCTAAAGTTATTTTAGATTATCCAGTTGAAGTGAGCACTTGAACTTTGTATTTTCTCTTTCTGTTCTTTGACCACTTGGGCAAGAACAGTAACCTTTGAAATCACCAGTGTATGCCTGTGGTGCGATCATCATTATCCTTATCCTCATCATCATCATCACCACCTTCATCATCATCATCATCATCATCATCAGCCTTTTTCCCCCTGTGCTGGAGTATAGGCCACCAACAAGAGCTCTCCATCTACTTCTGTACTTGGCTATAGGCTCCACCTCTGTCCAGCTGTATCCAATCTTCTTTAGCTTCAAATATAAGTCCCTCCTCAAAGCACTTTTAGGCCTTTCTCTCTGTCTATTTCGTTGTGGATTCCAATACCTGTAGTATGCTTATCTTAAACTCGGAGCAAATTGAACTTTTGATTTCTGATCTTACACCCCCCTCAAAGCATTTTTAGGCCTTTCTCCCTATCTATTTCATTGTGGATTCCAATGCCTTTAGTATGCTTATCTTAAGCTCACAGCAAATTGAACTTTTTGGTTTCTGATCTAAGTCCTCCCTCAAAGAACTTTTAGGTCTTTCTCTTTGTCTGTTTCCTTGTGGATTCCAATACCTGTAGTATGCTTATCTCAGACTTAGAAGAATTTGAACTTTTGATTTTCTTACAGAGCAACACAACAGGAACATTCCCAACTTCAGCAATTTCAACAAGTTTTTGGGACAGTTGATCTTGGAATCCATCTCAATCAACAGCGGTTACACGTCCAGAATTGAGGTAAGTGTGGACTGACTGAGAGACAGTGGTTACACTCCTCAACCCAGGTCGGAAGTAATACAGTAAACTTTGTTTAACCCCTTCGGGACCTATTTGACGAGAATGTTTCTGAGTGTTATAGGGTCTGCTGGGGTAATAATATAGCGTAAAGCGCATTGAGCCTGCTGCCGAGCAAGGATATGGGCTATACTAATGCTAATTGTTATTACAGTAGTCTCCGCCTAAGATCCCACCACTTACGATCCCGGTTCGCTTAAGATCCCGCTGTTTTAGGAAAACAGAATTTTTACTATACAAAAGTCTCCCCTAAGATCCCGCTCTGATGGTCGACATTCGGCTAAGATCCCGCATTTCAGATCATAATTTGCGAAACAAAAACGCAGGCGGGCACAGCTGATCAACCAAGAGTGAAAAGTTGAGATCAATAAACTGTCCGTCGCGTCAGAGATCAGCCACTCTCGTGAATGTGATCGCATACACGTTGTAAAACTCGATGAAGCGATACAATGTTTGCCCCCGACAGGATCACACCGGGGTGTGAACTGACCGACGTGTTTGTTTTCCCCAAACATCGCACTCACACCTGAGCTCTCCCCCTAAACTTGCATCACTCGCTGGGTGAGTAGGGCCTACACGTTTGCTCCAGGCGGGATCACATTGAACTGTGAACTCTTCCCTGACCATTGCAGCAGTTGTCTCTACTCCCGAATTTGCGAGACGGACTGAATTTTAATTGGTGTGTTCACAACGTAATGGTGCGTAACGACAAAGGCGGTTTTTTGTGTGCGTGTGTGGGGGGGGGGGGGGAACTTGGTCAGAGATGGAAAGCTATAAATTTTCGACAGATAAAGGTGAGGGGCAACTGGATAAGCGTAGATCTTGAGACTCATGATAGGATAATAAGTGAAAATGGCACGCCTCATGCCACTATGCACCGTAATAGGTCAAGGTTAACCACTCTTTGCTCGCCATATGCCATAAACCCACCAAGGGGGCACGTCAGTTCATTGTAGAGTGGAGGGAGAACATTTTATCGATTGTGAGCCTTAACATGGGTCACCATAGATTCTTCCCTGGGTCCGTCGGTTAAGATCCCGGTTCTCGCCTAAGATTCCGCATTTCCTTGCTCCCGAGCACCGGGATCTTAGGCGGAGACTACTGTATTATTATTATTGTTATGTGGGTTGTTGGCAGGTGCTCTGATGTGGTTTGTTCCTTCTGTCCTACCAAACATTTATCGTCCTGATCCCTCCTCCTTCTTTTTTATGTTTGTTACTCTCTTGTAACTCCTCTAATCTTCTGCACTTATATGACCTCAATGTGTTGCAAGTGCTGTAAAGCTCTTACTAAAAACTAACGATTGTATCAATGTGTTGCAAGTGCTGTAAAGCTCTTACTAAAAACTAACGATTGTATCAATGTGTTGCAAGTGCTGTAAAGCTCTTACTAAAAACTAACGATTGTATCAATGTGTTGCAAGTGCTGTAAAGCTCTTACTAAAAACTAACGATTGTATCAATGTGTTGCAAGTGCTGTAAAGCTCTTACTAAAAACTAACGATTGTATCAATGTGTTGCAAGTGCTGTAAAGCTCTTACTAAAAACTAACGATTGTATCAATGTGTTGCAAGTGCTGTAAAGCTCTTACTAAGAACTAACGATTGTATCAATGTGTTGCAAGTGCTGTAAAGCTCTTACTAAGAACTAACGATTGTATCAATGTGTTGCAAGTGCTGTAAAGCTCTTACTAAAAACTAACGATTGTATCAATGTGTTGCAAGTGCTGTAAAACTCTTACTAAAAACTAACGACTGTATCAATGTGTTGCAAGTGCTGTAAAACTCTTACTAAAAACTAAGGATTGTATGACTTTGTGTGTCCTCAGCCTGGAGAGAATGAAGGGGAACTGCCCAAACAGCTGGGAAACAAAACAGAATGTGCCCTGCTAGGCTTTATCCAAGCCATGGGGGAGAGTTACGATCAGGTCAGTGACATCTCTCTCTCTCCGTCTGTCTGTCTCTCTGTCTTTCTGTCTGTCTGTCCCCATTCCCATCTCTCTCTGTCTGTCTCTCTGTCTGTCTCCCTGTCTGTCTGTCTGTCTGTCTGTCTTTCTCTCTGCCTCCTCTTTCTCTGTCTCTCTCTCTCTCTCTTTCTCTGTCTCTGTCGCTCTCTCTCTCTCTCTTTCTGTCTCTCTGTCTCCTCTCTCTTTCTCATTTGTTTGTTGTCTTTTCTTTCTTCTTCCTTGCTTTTCTCTGATTCCCTCTTTTTGTTTTGCTGTTTTATCTCTCTCTTTCTGTCGCTTCGTCTCCTTTGAGATACAATTATTTCTCTTTGTTTCATTCTGGAGCATACACACGCATGCAGACACACACACACATAATCACAGACATAACACAAACACACACATACACACATTCACACACACACACACACACACACACACACACACACACTATTAGGTATACACAAGAATAACCTCTTTCCACCCACTCCTGTGATTTCCTCAGGTCCGTGAGAAGTACACGGAGGAGTCTCTGTTCAAGGTGTACACCTTCAACTCTGACCGCAAGTCCATGAGCACAGTCATCAAGGTAGACGGCTCGGAGGATCGATACCGCTTCTTCTGCAAGGGTGCCTCCGAGGTGGTGGTCAAGAAGTAAGTCTGTCGTCTCCTCATCATCATCATTTCATCATCATCATCATCATTGTTTGGAAAGCAGAGTAGGAGGGAGAGTCTTTTTTGAATTTCAGACAAAATAACAATATAAAATGTTTAAAGTTTGTTTAATAGACACAGTTCAACGTTTCGCCTCTTGATCATCATCATCATCTTCATCATCATTTTAAACAGCAGAGAATTTTTTTAAAAAGGTTGAGACTTGTAGAATTTCCAAAAATATTTTTTATATGTTCGACGTTTCGCCCGCTCAAGGAACATACAAAAAAATTATGTTAGATTATCATCATCTAATAATGTTACATCATTATCACCATCACCATTATCATCACCGACAAAACAGTTCCCCTTTTTCTTGTTTCTTTTTTTTTTCTTGAAACGTAACTGTTTGCGCCAAGTCAATACATCTTTACGTAAGCTGCAAATATCGGCACCAAAATCAGGACACGCGACAAAATAAAAATGAAATATAAAAATGTCTGTCATCTCGTCGACTGGTCTGACAGGCTGGGTCAAAGTAGCCCACCTTCTAAATTATGGTCTAATGTGTGGTTGACCGGGGTATTCAACACCCACAAGTGGGTAGTTGGTGGGTGCTCTGGTGTGGTTTGCTCCTCCTTTCCTCTCAAACATCAATCATCCTCATCTTTTTTTCTTCTTTATGAAGATATACCACTGTACCGATATTTACTTTCAATAGGTTGAAGACAAATTATGTGATGTTTCTTTTTTTGTGTGTGTGTCTATCTGGACTGCTCAGTATAAGTTCTTGTTATATGTCACTTTTCAAAATGACGTATGACTGAGTCTTACACTAAGATGTCGATCTGATTCGGTTTATAATTATAATAATAATAGATTGCATGTATAAAGCATTCTATCCCATACAAACATAAGCTCTGAGCGCTTTACATCAATCATATGATCACTGAGCGATTCGCACAAGATAAAATATTTCACAGTAACAAGAAAAACCAGTTCAGCCACATAAAGAACTTTCATAACCATACATTTAACACATAGCAGTAAAAACAAAACATATCGGCACACTTACTAACGCACTATAACTATCACGCAAGATAAATATTTCACAGTAACAAGAAAAACCAGTTCAGCCACATAAAGACGAACTTTCACAACCATACATTAGTTATATACACGTAAGGACAGCAGTAAAAACAAAACATATCGGCGCTTACTAACACACTATAACTCATCATCATCATCCAGTGCCTTGCCGACTGGGGTTGGCAGTTATGGACCTCCACTTCCATCTGTCCTGCGTTGCAGGAATGGTTCTTGCTGCTCCCAGCCATGTTGTCAACTTGTCCGGTATCTTTTCCTTCTGTCTGCCTCTGCCTCTCTTTCAATCAAACTTGCCTGTTGTTACAATATGGTGTGTCCAATGAAATTTGCCTGTCGCTTTCGTATATTCGTCATAAGCGGCGGTTTACTCTATAACTAGTTTATGTAGAAGAGTTTCACACAGCCCGGCTTTGGCATCATCCCCAGGTGCGACTATATTTTGGACTCGGAGGGCAAAGCCGTACGGTTCAACCTGCAGGCCCAAGAGAAGGTGGTCCACGAGACGATTGAGCCCATGGCTAGCGAGGGTCTGCGTACTATCTGCATGGCCTACAAGGATTTTGTGTCCGGTGAGTTCCATCAACGTCTTTCATTAAAATTCACGTGGAAATGTGTTTTTACATGGGCAAACAGTGGAAGGGGTTGAGCCAAATTTTAAAAATTAGACCAAATTTGCCGAACAGGCAGAAAAACACCTGTTTCTTCAATTTCATTGCTTTGACGAGGGCCTGATTTCACCACAATGCCTCTCTCACATATGGCTCGTTCATCCTGCTTAGTGACACTGACAGGCTTGACTACAGTGAACCGCGGATATAATGACGGTATTGGCCCTGACCTTCAATTCTGTTGAATCCGAGTTAGGTTGTTGATTTTAATGATTAAGAAAAGAAAAACAGAATCCGCCTCCTTTCATCGAATCCGATTTTTTGTTGAATCTGAGTTTGTTGTATCTGAGTTTTTATTGTATTTTCCTCTTGTTTGCAAGAATATGTATGTGTCCTCGGAGAAAAGTCCCAGTCGTCGCGAAAGCTATTTTTGAGCAATGGGGTGGAAAGGTCAAAAATAGGTGGTACATGGTCCAAAATTTCGTTCCCTCTGGAAACACACATTTAACCATTTCTTAATAACATATTGAAAGGATTTTATATTTTTTAAGTCTAAATTTTTAAAAATTTATAATTTTTGCAACGCGTTATTAGAAACTATGTCAACTTATCGTGAATGGAAGGCAAAATATCTGCAATTGAAGGAGGTGAGGGTTGCCTGGTGTCAGAGGTAAAATTAGAGAGAAAACCAGAGTTTAGTGACCTTCAAAGCTTGAGTGTCTTTGGAAACTGCAAATTTACTTTTTTAGAACTTTTGTTAAATGTTTTACAGTAAAATCCACACTGAAATGTGTTTTTAAATGGACATAAAGAGGTTGAGTTTAAAAAAACCACAACAATTCAATGTTTTTTTAAATTGCCTAACAGGCAGAAAATTGCTAGTTTCTTTGATTTCATTGCTGTGATGAGCACTTGATTTCACCGTGATGCCTCACATATATGCCTTGTGTACATCTGCAAGTATGACATCCACTTAACATTTTTATCTTTGAAAAAAACAGGAACTACGGAAATGAACGAGAGCTCCATCGACGGCGTGGACTGGGATGATGAGGCAAAGATCATGACGGGCCTCACCTGTGTGGCCATTGTGGGCATTGAGGATCCCGTCAGAGACGAGGTGAGTTTACTTTTTCCCATGTGTCAAGAGAAGTCAAGTGATTTTTTTTGTACCTGGAAGGCCCACATAGCTAGACTTATTCCAATGTTTAAAGAGAAGTCAAGTAAGTTTTTACCTAGAAGGCACATAGAGCTAGACTCATTCCAATGTGTCAAGAGAATTCAAGTGATTTTTTTGTACTCGTAAGCCCAAAGAGCTAGACTTATTCTGATGTGTAAAGCTCTCGGACTCGCAACCATAAGGTCGTGGGTTCGAATCCCGTCAGGGGCCTGACGTTGTGTCCTTGGGAAAGGCACTTTACACTTATTTTCCTCACTTCACCCAGGTGGGAATGGGTACCCGGCTATAGACAGCGAAAGATCTTGTCAGTTTGTTAGTGTTTGAGCGCTTAATCGGCTGCTCGCACTGTATGCTTCCCGGGAAGCTGAGAATGTTTCGGAGTGCTCTATGGTCTGCTGGGGTAATAATATAGTGTAAAGCGCATAGAGCCTGCTGTTGAGCGGGGATATACGCTATACAAATGCTATCTATTATTATTATTATTATTAAAGAGAATTCAAGCAAATTTTTTGTACATGGAAGGTACATTGAGCTTAAACTTCTTTCACATTTTTTTTAACAAAGCAGAAGAACTGATAGACTTTAAATGCAAGACAGAGTGACTGTAACATGACAAGGAAAATCATGTAATATAATCATCTGCATTTGTTTGGATTGCGCAAGTTCCCGCTTAACAGCAAGTTGTGTACGCTTTGCATTCTTTAATTATTACTCCATCAGACCTTATAACATTCTGAAACAATCTCAACTTCCTGGAAAGCATACAGTGCAAGCTACCATTTTACAGGCGTTAAAACACTAACATACTGATAAAATATTTCGTGTTTTATCACCTAGCACCCATTCACATTTGGGTGAAGTATGGAAAATTCCTGTAAGCCACATAAGATGTTTTCCATTTCTTTTGAATTAGATTGTATTCGTGGACATTCAGTAAGGTCCAACAAAAATAGTATTTCTTTTTTTTTTTCACTTCATCATCTTTGCCTTTCTCACCCTGCACCAGGGTATAGGCCACGGCCAAACATTTTCTACCTTTCTTTATCCTGGGCTAGCCTCTTGATGTTGTTCCATGACTTCCTACTTTAAAAAAAAAAATTAATTTAAGAAAATATAGATCGCTGCTGTTATTTTCATGATGTTTTTGCCTGCTTTCATGCACAAATCGGATGTTGGAGATACAGAAATAGTATAATTGACGGTGAGACGTTTTGGTTCTCTCCCCTCAGGTGCCCGAGGCTATCAGGAAGTGCCAGGGGGCAGGCATCATGGTCCGCATGGTGACGGGTGACAACGTGAACACGGCGCGCTCCATCGCCTCCAAGTGTGGCATTCTGCGGCCGGGAGAAGAAGGCCTGGTGCTGGAAGGCAAGGAGTTCAACCGACGGGTCCGGGATCACACTGGAGAGGTGAGTGCTTGCTCCCTCCCTACATCCTAGTGATATATATATGATATATTGACTTGCTGGTGTTTTCAGACAAGGTTGAAACGTGCGAAATTGTAGGCTATAGGTTTAAGGCCCCTTGTAACCCTGTAAGGTTATACAAGATGGATGTGGAGTGGCGTTGTTAGGTTAGTGGTTAGGCTACCGGACTCATAATCGTGAGATTGCAGGTTCAGGGGTTCGAGCCTCAGCTTGGTCCGACGTTGTGTGCAAGGGAAAGGCACTTTACACAAATTTCCCACTTGGCTCAGTCCTTTGGGAGATGGACGTTAAACTCGGAGGTCCTGAAAGAACCTAACAATGTTGATAGGGGCGTTAAAACTATACCATTTCACCATTTTTCAATATGTGGGACCTCCGAATTTGATACCCGGTGCCCCGTTGGCAAGATCGGTTTGGCTTGATTGTCGGAGCTAGCCAGATTTTCCTCCATGGAGGGAGAAAAGCTACCAGCATGGCACAAACCGAATGAAACTGACGAATACCTTCAAGAACAAACGCGTTTGTTTTCAAGGCCGTGAGTCAGACGATCGGTTTGAGGCAGGGGTGTATTTATAGTGTGCACTGAAGCCGCCAGAGACCAAACTGAAAAAAACTAAACCGATCCTCCAATGGGCACTGGGTATAACTTTTGTCTTTCTGAGAGGAACCAATCCAAATGGGAATCTCACAGGCAGTGTTGTTGATTGATTTCCTGGTCTTTTCAGGTGAAGTTGAAATATGGGAAAATGTACAGGTTTAACTCACTAGCTACCCCTGCCGCATATGACGCGGTCATAGTACTGTTTCCGCCGACTACCTTTGCCGCAGGCCCTGCGGTTTCTAAGTTCAGAGTTTTTTTTCACGTTATTACTGCAGCATATGCGGCGTGGGTACGGCTTTTAGAAACTGCTACCACTTCAGCACCGAAAGTGCCAAGTGCTGTTGTCATAGGACAATGTTTCTGTGTTTATCACACGAAGGAGAGTTACTGGCTATAACAAACTGTGACAATTGACACCGCAACATAGTAGAAGCCTGTGGAAACAAAGTGTATCAGCAACTCCTTATTCCACTCCCCACCTTCTCACTGGAGAGAGAGAGAGAGAGAGACAGACTGAGACAGACAGAGTGAGGGAGAAAGAGGATTACTATAGGAGCTTTGCGCTGCGTACGTTCTTTGTATTATTGTACAGTGCATTGAGCACTTCTTTTGTGGAAATGCGCTATATAAATGCAATTTATTATTATTATTATTATTATAATTATTATTATTCTTTCTTTCCTTTGCAGGTGAACCAGGAGTACATGGACAAGATCTGGCCAGACCTGCGTGTCCTGGCACGGTCGTCACCCCAGGACAAGTACGTCCTGGTCAAGGGCATCATCGACAGCAAGAGCGAGAGCACTCGCCAGGTGGTGGCGGTCACAGGGGACGGTACCAACGATGGGCCCGCCCTCAAGAAAGCCGATGTGGGATTTGCTATGGTAAGGCGAAACTACTACTATTGCAGGATGATTTTTTGCTCTGCTACCAGACCTTGTGTCTGCGTGTTTCTCTTTACTGACATTTACGAAACAAATCTCTCTCATTCTCTCTCTTTCATTCTCTCTTTCTCTGTCTCTCTCTCTCTCTCTCTCTCTCTCTCTCTCTCTCTCTCTCTCTCTCTCTCTCTCTCTCTCTCTCTCTCTCTCTCAGCAGGTGGTTGGCAGGTGTTCTGATGTGGTTTGCTCCTTCTTTCCTATCAAACATCTATCGTCTTTATCTCTCCTCCTTCTTCTTTGTGTTTGTTGCTCTCTTTTGTGAGACCTAAGGTGACCAGGAGACGCATATTAGAGTCTGAAATGAAGTCCTGAAACCATTCGTGGGGGACGCTGACCAAAATGGCCCAAAACAGACAGAGCTGGAGATCCTTTGTTGCTGCCTTAAACGCCAGATGGTGTAATGGGTAGTTAAAAAAAACAACTCTCTTTTGTAACACTTCTAATCTTCTGCACTTATTTGACCTTATTGTGCTGCAAGTGCCCCCATAAAACTCTTACTAAAACAATACTCTCTTCTCTCAGGGTATATCTGGAACTGACGTGGCCAAGGAGGCTTCGGACATCATCCTGACAGACGACAACTTCACCAGCATCGTGAAAGCCGTCATGTGGGGCCGCAACGTCTACGACAGCATCGCCAAGTTCCTGCAGTTCCAGCTGACCGTCAACGTGGTGGCCGTGCTGGCCGCTTTCTTCGGCGCCTGCATCATCAACGTGAGTCGCGCAGCTTCTTGTCTCCGTGTACTGTTGGGGATGTTTGTCATCTTTCGTCGTACGAAAGTATTCGTACAAAAGTATAAACAGTCAGGGTTCCATACTCTTGAACTTTTGGGAAATTGGTAAATTCTTGGAAAAGTAAATTTGTAACCAGATCTATTGTAAAAGCGTTTCCTCGTCGTTTAGAAGGCCTCGACTTTACGCATTGTGAAGTGTACCATATTGTATTTTTGAATGCTGAATGAAAAATGTTCTCCCGAAATGACACGTTTGTCTTGGAAAAAAGAAATCTGGCCATGAAAACTATTGAAAAACTCTTACAAAGACTTTTAAAAACACATTGCTTTTTTTGTGTCTCCCCAGAACTAAATGGCCATTATTGTTTTGACGTGTTTCTCTTTACTCAAACAAACAATTCCTGTTATTTGTATACAGGACAGCCCTCTGAAAGCCATCCAGATGTTGTGGGTGAACCTGATCATGGACACGCTGGCTTCTCTGGCTCTGGCCACCGAGCTTCCGACGGACGAGCTGTTGAAGAGAAAGCCGTACGGCCGTAGCAAGCCTCTCGTCTCACGCACCATGGCCAAGAACATCCTCCTGCACTCCGTCTATCAGCTCACAGTCATCGGGGTTTTATTATTTAAAGGTGAGTTCGGGGGATGTTTGACTTAACATTTGGTTTAAGCAGTAAGATCTTCTTCTCCCAGTGCAGTTGATTTTGGCGTACATTGTGGATTTATCTACAACGAACGTAAAATCATCCCGTGCCTGACAGGTAGACACGTGTCTTTTTCAGACTAGAATGGCTTCAGTTTTTGGTGAGAATTCATTTGGAATTTTGTCCTATAAGAGATCAAAATGTCTCCTCCTTATCTGAGAAGACCAGGTGCTCGATTCTGCTTACCTATGGGTTAGTGAGTTTAGAAAAATGAGGAAAATACTCAACACTGCTTGGAATTGAGTTTCGGGCCTCTGGGTTTAAAGGTGGACACTATATCTTCTCAGCTACCGAGCCCCCCCCCCCTCCATTGGTGCATGCTGATCGAGATCTTTTGAGTTATAGCATCAACTGACTTATAAGCTGTCTAGCAGAAGTGACACACAGATTGTTAAGATAGATAAGACAAACTTTTTTTTATCCATGAAGCTTCTATAGGTGGTTGAAGGTTGTCTAGTGTCGTTTGCTCATTCTTTCCTATCCAACATCTTTTATCCGTACGTTTCTTCCTTTTTTTGTGTATGTTACTCTCTTGTAACTCCTCCAGTCTTCGGCTCTTATATGGCCTTATTGTGTTGCAAGTGCAGTAAAACTCTTGCTAAAACTTTTTTTTTTAAATATACGTGAAGTTTCTTTACCGTAAGCATCTGCTGTTTGTCCCGCATCAGGTCCGGACATCCTGGGTATCGACGACGGCATTCAGGATGTGGAGAATGTGCACGCCCCGCCCACAGCGCACTTCACCATGATCTTCAACTCGTTCGTCATGATGACCCTCTTCAACGAGATCAACGCGCGCAAAATCCACAACCAGCACAACATCTCTGAGGGCCTCCTCAGAAACCCCATCTTCATTGGGATCTGGGTCGGCACCATTATCGCACAGGTATTCCTCCATTTTTCTTCTATTTTTTCTTTCTTTCTTTCTTCTGTTTTTTTTTTTTTTTTGGGGGGGGGGGGGGTGTTTTTTTAAAATTTAAAGTCTTTTGAACTTTTATTGCACATCTGACTAGAATTCCTTTTTTTTTTCCCTCCTTTTCTTCTTTTTTTCCTGTATCGTCTTTTTTCCTGTTCTGGTCTTGCTTCTATGTGAACTTGGCAGTCCTTGTTTGATGAGCTCCTGCTGATCAAGCTGGGCTTTCCACGTGAAAAAAAAGAACGTAGACATTTTGACTTTACTCACTCCCTGTCCTTTATGGCACTGCACCCTTCCACAAATGAAAACCCCGTAATTTGTCCTGTTTTATTGAAAAGAGGGAATGCATCCTGTTGGGGTTTTGTTCATTGAAATCGCTTACGGCAACTGGTCTGTTTCCTGGGATGAGGGGGGGGGGGGGGTCAGCAACAGCTACATTCTCTGCCCCAGGTCTACTTACTTACTTTTTCATCCTCTGTTGCTGTTAAGCGTCGAGGGGAGATGCAGTTTTCTATGGAAGGCCAGCTCCGCAGCTCTTTCAATTGGGATATTATGATTTCTCAGGGTCCTCTGACACCGTTTGATATTTGCACATTTTGGTCTTCGCTTGATGATATCATAGGTTCTTTTCTATTTAGACATAATTTAGACATCCGATTTTTACTTTGTTTTCATATGCATATCTTTTTTTATGTTCAATGTTCAAACCCTTTTAATTGAATGAATACATTAGTATTGTATTGGAATGACTACAGTACAGTAGTACGTTAAATGGATTCTATACACTTTAATCTAAGTCATGCTGATGTCAAAATCAATTGCCAAAGACTAATTTATTGAAACAAAGAATTTGTAATAAATAATATTGTCTTGGTGTGCACAAGGCAAGAACGATAAATCTACACATCCTCTTTGTGTAGTCGATTATTCAGTTAATCATGATCACATCAGCTAGCAACAATAATTATTTTGTATTTTTTTCCTTCTTTCAGGCTCTCATCATCCAATTTGGAGGCATTGCATTTCACACCACGAGCCTCAACGCATCACAATGGCTGTGGTGTTTATTTTTAGGCGTCGGCACCTTGTTGTGGGGTCAGGTGAGTGACTTTTTTCTGTACCCCTTACCTAAAACCCTGTGCCCGTTGGCATGATCGGTTCGGTTCGGTTTGCTGGCCAGATTGAGGGCGCAAAGTGGTTATTGTGGCACTACAAACCAATCGCATGACTTGTAGCATCAAGGACAAACGCGTTTGTTTTCAGATGACGAGTCAGACTATTGGTTAGCGATCAGTTTGTCGACACCCCCCCCCCCCAAAGTAAGATGTGTATAGTAAAAATTGTCTAAGCCTATGTATCCTTATGCGACGTTAAGAAGCGTGGGATCAGTCGCGAGGTGTGTATCCTTATGAGCGACTACGTCGCGCCCAAACTTTCAGTCGCCTGTGACAGAAGCGACTAGAGTGTCTCCTTATTCGCAACACGACGTTGTCGCGCGTGACTGGTTCACAACAGAAAGACAGTAGCAAGTTATTTTTTGCACATAGCCTCGAGCCTTGCTTTCACCAACACACACACACACACACACACACACACACACACACACACACACACCGTAAGTTAACGGAGAAAGTCACAACCCTCATTTACCGTCAGTGTGAACTTGTTGGAAAAGAAAGAAGTACAGTCCCCAACCTGTGGTAAACCTATACCATTTTTTCACCTTTTTTCCCCCCCATTTTCACCATATTTTTTCACCATTTTCCACACCTCCCCCTCCACAGTTCATGACGATGGTCCCCGACCACTACATGCCGTCCCTGCAGTACACACACTCACACACACACACACACACACACACACTCACGCACACACACACGCACACACACCGTAAGTTATGGGAGAACCATTTCACCATTTTCACTGATAGGAGGCGTCGCGTCGTTAAACCTATACCATATTTTCACCATTTTCACCACCTCCACAGTTCGTGAAGATGGTCCCCGACCACTACATGCCGTCTCTGCAGTAGTAGTAGCAGTAGTAGTAGTAGTAGTAGTAGTAGTAGTAGTAGTAGTAGTAGTAGTAGCAGTAGCAGTAGCAGTAGTAGCAGTAGCAGTAGCAG